GCAATGATCACTTGAATTACTTCGATTGGCCGCTGGGATAACTTTACCTAGCCTCTCAACGCACATCGCTGGATCATGCGTCCGTCTTGATGTGAATCAGAGGCCAGGTGGACAGCCATTTCATAACTTGACGAGCGCATTAATAAAGACCTGCATGAGCTGAATGGACACGACTTAGACTAGCACCACGGATTGCTCGCAGGCACCAAGTACGTGTGTGTGTGTGCACACACTTTTACACGCTCAATCAGGAACCAACAGAATTACCTGAAGTCCAATTAAATCCAAAGTACTGGGTTAACCAACAAACATTACTGGCTCTAAGCACAGACCACTCAACCACATACCCGGTCTTTCATCAATGGCGCTATTTTGCTTGCTTTCATTGTTGCAGTTCTCCGACGACTGAAGGTCCACGCCATCAAGACTACCAGAGACGGATACCCCAATCGACTTTAGCTTGCCTGACAAGGAGACTAAAAAGGCGCAAAAGGAATTAATTCGAGATTCTAAAGGCAAGTCTCGAAATTGGTGGACACACAATAAGCAGGCGGCAGTGGCTTGTGGTGGATGAGCGGAGAAAACCAACGGCTTTCGATGTGACAGTGCAGGACGATTGGCTGTTGAACAACTAAAGGCTAAACAGAGGATATATATTTCAAATCTCCTTAGCTACAAAGTGGATGAACTTGATGGCAAAGAACCTAAGGGCTCAGGTTCTGGTTTTGTCAATCATTTGAACAGTAAATGGGATGATTGGCCACGATGGAAACAGAACACCTCTGCTGTCGACTCCAGTCAGTCTAAAGCTGTTGCCTAGAAACAATCTCCAAAGTACACCAGCGTAGTGAGACACAAAGAAACCTTTCCCCTAATGGTCAAAAAAGCATACGCGGCATGTGTAGGGAAAAGGCTGGATTAAGGCCGGGTGGAACGGGTGGTGCTGAGACGTTTGACGTTGGCACATCCGTCCGACGGCGGCCACGGGCCAAAAGTGGCTTCGAGTTTTGCGTTTGGACGCGCGGAGGGCTGGGTGGTGGTGGATGTGGAGGAGAGAAGGAGGACAAGGTGGAGGAGACCTGACTGAGGTCGGTGAATGCCAAACCGTCTGCATAGGGGTCGTGGGCGTTTTCTTCAACTGCAGGTAGACAATCGATTAAATCAACCGAACCTGTGCGACACTATCGATCGCCCAGCACTACTGACCATGCGTGGAACACTATGCAAGCACTGGAAGTCGGAAAGATGACCAACTTAGAGCACCTCTAATGGTACCCCTGTATTCAATTACTCCTGGCGCGCACAGCGCTAAAAGCACAGCAAAATTACATTTGTCCCTAAAATTAAAAGTGCGCGTGTCGTCACGCGAGTAGGACCGGTGTTTCGGTTA